CTTGATGTGGTCTTCATCTTTCTGTATGGATTGGAATTGTTTTAAATACATTATTAGGAGCAGTGCCCTTTCAGCCCCTATGGTGTCTTTGATAACTTCTTGTAGAGGGCAAAATTCTCCAGTACCATGGGATTTATGGTTTCTGATACCATCGTTCAGTCTCACTCAAATAGTTCTTTTAATGCAGAACAGCAGGTTTCCAAATTCTTTTTATCCTTTCTTCGGATCTGCATCTTGTACAGAACCAGTCATGAATTACATAGCGGCATTGTCAAGACCAACTCAAACAAACAGCTATGTATGAAATGAACCAAACTGACTGGTCTTCTGGTTGCTTTCTCAGACTAGCTATGTCATTTACCCCACAAGAGTTGGTGCTGGGGCGGTTAAAATAAATATTTTGATACAACTGAAGAGAGCCATCAGCCTCTGCTATACATCTGTGGCCTCTCTTGAGTCAATTTCATAAGGGGGAGGTGGCTCATTTGGTGTAAACTGAGGAGATGCATAGTGTGGTTTTCGAAAACTGTATCTCCCTCTCCCAGGAGTGTAGGGGGGAGGTGGTTCCACGCCATCGTCATTTTCTTCTCTGATGGACGTAAGTCTGTTATTGAGAGGTCCTGAAACAAGGTTATAACAAAAAAGAAGTTACTTAATAAGACAAGAAAATTTTGTATCCCCTAATTGATAAATTTCTTTATTCTCACCACCTGTAAATATGAATGCTTAACAATGCATGGATATTGTTATGAGACATTTGGTGTTGATCACTCTTTGAGATTTTAAGATCAATGATTTTTCACCTTCAGATCTCTTGCCTCAAGGAAATGGGCAGGTGGGGTGGGGCTCACTGGGATAGAAAATGACGCCTTTATGTACAGCCGGTCCACACCACTTTCCCATGTTCTCAAAATTACCTACTGTACATGTACAGTGTACAACAGTTACTTTAAATAGTATACAGGGTGCAAAGAAAACAAATTTTTGAGCTTGCACTTTAGGGAACCGACATACTAGCCCAAAAATCATACTCAGTAGCCCTAAACAGTTCATCTCCTACAGTACTTCTGTACATAGAATATCCTCCAAAATTTTCCAAAGAAACTTCAATCACTTGCCCATTGGGCAGGTAATGGACAGAATCCATTATTCCAACAGGAAAATCCAATAGCCCCGGGCTATCGAACAGGACATTCTTTGCACACAGAGCATGGCTTATGATATGGAGTTCCCATGGAAGAGCACTGCCACTCAGTGACACCCTGTTAGGGTAAGATTACGATAATCCCAAGGGAATGTATCCCTTCTAGGCAGATTAATGTTAGCAGTGAGTTTCAAAAAATCAGAAATATTGCTTTGCCTTGGGTATAACTGAGCTTTACCACTCACTTGGTCTTAAATTTTGTGTTTGCTCCAAAACTTCATTTCTCATTCGATTTCTTTGATTTTTCTTCCTATTTCTGTCAATGACAACTATTAGGAGGATGAGAAGGAGTAACAGGCCCACTGATAAGCTGATGATTATTGCCAACTCTACACCCTCAGAATTAATACCTGTTTGAAAAAAAAAAAAATTCAATCAAATTACAATCATTTTATTAAAACTGTGTGGAGGCACAGTTGCCTCGTGGTCAGTACACTTGCCTCCAGATACAGTACATTAACCCTTCTTGGCTCTCATGCTAAAATGATTGTGACAAACAAACAGAGTCTAAATCAGGCCAAAGTATCCCATGGATACCACAGCTTGTCTGCTAGTTTCATCCATGTACATGTAGCACAAGACAGCTAGAGGTACATGTATTTCTTCATGTACTTCCCTGAGATGGAAAGCTACATGTAGTCCAGTACAAGGTTCCCATTCATGTGGCTCAGACGCACTGTGAAAGAGATCCCAAACTGACTAATTTATTTTTAGTCAAAATCGCTAACCAATGTGCAACATCTGAATTCTAAGCTAACCTGATGGGCATGTATAAGCACAACATTTTCCAGGTACAGCCTTGTAGTCTTTGCATGTTGGCACCGCACACTCTGTTGTGAAACACTCCTCTGCTTGTCCACTCAAGCATTTACAGTGCAGACAAAAATCATTTCCTTCAGGCACAAATGGGTCTCCATGTTTTATCCTGTTACCATCAATGTCATTGCAAAATGATTCTGTGAAGAAAGACATTTAATCATCACTACATTCAATATCACATGCATGTACAGTGTAATAATTTTTACCGATCCTTGGATTGGAAAGTTCAGTATATAGATTTATTATATATAAACTATCATGTGCAAAATGGAAAATAAACTTGAGCAGCAAAGTACAACTGTAGTGGGCACCCAAAGTCTGCCTTTGGTGCAGGTCTAAATATTTCATTTAAACAAATTTGAAAATCATGATTTATGTGAATTTAGTTACAAATGTACTAACAACTTTGTCTTGTGGCAATGTTTTCCTGATAGGAAAAATTAAGGGTGAGATTAAAATAACATGGATTTAAATACCCCTTTGAGGAAGCTCATATGTGCATGTGCATGTATTTGCCAGCTTAGGAGTTCCTTTAACTGGCCCAAAGTCATGTACAAATACAGTGTTATAGGATGCTTCTGCATTCTAAAGAAGCACTTACAACAAGTTTTGAACATATTTACATTTTTTGCTTTCAAGTGTAGATTATGTATTTCTAACTAAGAGAACACTAAAGCTGCTTTTACTTGTACATGTACCATGAAAATAAGGCCTGCAGCCTTTAAATAAAACATTTTAGAGATCTATCAAGAAATTATGGTACCACTGAAGTAGTCAAGCCATGGTGACAACAATGAGTATTACTACAGTTTCAAGATCAGAAAATTATTATGCACATACACTGTACCAGTAGCCACTGGTAGTTAACATTCATGTAAACATTACATGTAGATAACATGCATTTTTATTAAAGAACCAAAAAGTTGTGCTTAAAAACTGAAGAGAATAGCTGTAAAAAATGCACACAACCTTTAAATAATTAACAACAAAATGATGGTACATGCATATATCAAGTACAATAATTGTAAAATGCAACTTAGAGACTACAATTTGGGTAGCATACACTGTATTAGAGCGCCAAAGAAACAAGATTGCAATCTCATGGAATTTCAGCAAAGGTTACTGAAGAAGCAATATAATTAAAACAAATCAGGGCAAAGGCAAGTCTTGTTCACCACCAAGAAGCATAAGAAAAGGCTAGTATATATGAATTGAGTAATATCAAGTGATTCAAAGCTGAATTTCTACACTGCAATGTGCACATACCACAGAAGGCCAGAGTAGAACTATGAACAGTAATTTGCATGAACAGTAAAAATGTAAAAACTATTTGTAAATACCAGTGATATTAGCCATTGATAATTCTTCTCTGATTCTAGTAAGAGTGTTTCCGGATCTCGACACTAATGTTGCCTTCAAACCTCACGCTAGTAACTTTCTCTTTTACCGTACTCCACACATTCGGATGTGCAACTGCAGCAAAACTGAAAGAATTCACGGCATGAAGCCTCCTGATATCATCACCGCTATTTCAGAGAGCTGTGATCTTATGACCTTTCTAATAGCTGAAGGCAGATGATGTTTCATGCACAGATTTGGTTGGAGTTTTCTCATGGGAAGACTGTGGCGTATTCCCCGTATATTAGCTCAGTCATTGTGCTGCTGGATCAATATCTGGATTTGCCCTCACTTGCCCTACACAAAAAGTTAACTGAATGATAGTTGAGTTGTTTCTAATGTGTTATTGTTGATAACAATGACCCCCAACAAAACAAAAGGCATATTTACAGAGCCCCATATCAGACATAAAACTATGACGTACAGGAACCGGCTTCCCTCTGGTTTCTGAATTGTGAACTTCCAAGTTAAAACCCAAGTGAAGCCATATGATATGACTAAACTTATTAACAAATTATTTCTGGACTTCTGCAAAATCATGCCAAGCTCAGTACATGTAGATCTTATCCCACTTTGTGAAAGGTGGACTAAGTTATTTTATGGTTCAATGCACAGGTATTTTCCCACGGTGGAATGCAAATTAAGAAGCTTAAATGATTATCAAGTAACATTTATGCAAATACTGCTGATCGGGCACATTCCTTAGTTTTCTGCTCAGATAAGAGATATTAAATGCTCTTTGATTCACACCCAGATGGATGAGATTTAGAGAGATGCAGGGCTAAAAGTTTTTGCAACTAGGAATGTGCTGAGATAAGAGTTATTTTGCCTAATCAAGCCCATCTTCACCTGATCCAACTAATGAACTAACTAATGAAAGCAATTTTAAACCCTGAATGCAGGACTCGAAACCAATTTTGGCATTTAGATAGTCTTTCAATTTCACTAGTCTAATCAGCCAATTCATGTATTTAACTGTTTCCTTGAGCAATTATACAGACCTTGGCCAACTTATGGTTGTCAGGGAATATTGATACATGTAGTCTAGAAAAATTTAACAGCAATGCAACTGAGGTCATACATTTGTTTACAAATTTAGACCACTGATAACCGATCAATAATCTTACTAGTAAATGAACACTAAAACATGTCACACACAGAACAAATGAGACACTTCTGGAATATTTGAATGCATGTATTGGATCATCTGACTGAAAAATATAATGTGCAACTTCACAGATTAATAAAAGACATATTTATAAATTTATATACAAATATCTGTGGAATACAGCAATAGAACTTTAAATGTGTACACTTTACGATCAATTGTTGCACCACATGCTCAATTACATGCAAACTGTACTGTCACAGCAAGCTTGTGTTACTTTTGAACATAACTTTTTAAAAGACTATACATACATGTATATATACAGTCATGCACTTATAAACTACAAGAGCTAAGTTAACAAAGAACAATTTATATATTGCTTGATATCAACATCCTTTCAAGATACTGACAACTCACCTCGAAGTGTTCTTCTCAGTTTTCTTCTATCAGAGTTCTGTTGAAAAAAAAACAATATGTCCAGTCATGTTACATCTATTTTAATTTTTTTTTTAATTTTAGTGATTTTTTTTGGCAACTTCCTCTAAGCTCAGTGTAAATGTAGGAAGGCAGTTTAAATGTCAAGTATTGACAAGTTACAGTACTGTATAATTTTTTAAAACAACCATCTGAGTGGAGATTTCCACTATCAAAAAGATCTAGCATCCGGTCCAGTTGGTTAGTGTAATTATAGAGTCATAAAAGGTATGCTTGTTATAAAATTGCATGCATGGTTTGGTGTTCTGTATCAATGTTCTGCAAACCGTCAACTGTCAGAACTGAACATGTTAAAGACAACTGGAATCACACCTTCAAATAATGCAAGGCAAGTGGATCATGTTTATTGTAGGTAATGTTGGTCGACATTATTGACCACCGATACATCAACCGACACTCAATTGATATGTCAGCCGAGAATTATTTAACACTTGGCCGTACATCAACTGACACTCAATTGTTACGTCGGCCGAGTATCAGTCAACTCTTGGCCAATACATGGCTGATATATTAACCGACAGTCAGTTGAGTGTTCGACTGCAAAACAGTCGTTTTTGGACATTTTCGGAAGGCACGATCCTCGCGTGTGAAGCGCGCGAGTACGGGCATGTGAGGCGAGAAAACGACTGTCCGCTTTTCACACAACGAATTCGTTCTGAGCGGGGGTCGTATAATGTCACTGAGGTGACAGAAATTGCTTGACAGCTCCACCCACATCTTCCAGCCGTTATCAGTCACAGGCGACTTTCAGCGCAAAAGCGTCTAGACAAAAGTTCTGGTGGACGTCTCGTTGCCAACTGTGTGCAAAGTTTACCTGAAAAAGTGAAACCTTGCAGCGGTCCACTTGTAAAAATTATCATTTTACTTTCGGTATGTACGGCTAGCTCACTAAATACATTGGCATTAAATATTCCTTGAAATCTATAAATGAAGACATTTGTCGGGGGTTTCAACAGCCATTCGCATGCATGACCCGGAGAGCAAGCTAATCTACACATAAATTATTTCTGCACGTATTTTTCCTGTTTTTCTTGGGGCTACAGACTGAACAATACTTAATCCTATAAAGTCCTATAAAACTTATAACTTATTACCTTACAAAATTATAAGGTTTAGAAGATGTTTAAGTCTTGTTCAGTCCGTAGCCCCAAGACAAATACGTGCAGAAATAATTTGTTTGCGTGTATATTTGCTTGATCTCGGGGTCTTTCATGCATGTGAATGGCTGTTGAGAAACCCACCTTCAGTTATAAATTTCAAGGAATATTGCCAGTGTATTTACTGAGCTAAATCGCTCGGAAGCGCATCCAAGTCAACATCGTCTGTTTTCCCGCAAGAATTACTGTCTTTACTGTGGAACTGAAAGGGCGTCTATATCTTTTTGATTAGGTGTGAGTGACATTTGATGACAGGTTGCGTCAGAATTAAACCAATGGGAATTTCCCGTTGCTGGAAGAACGGGAAATTTTGAACAAATTTAACATATGCATGGCGGACAGACATATTTTTTAGTGTCTCTCCCTATTCTCCCTCTCCGTTTTTACACTTGCTCCAGACCTTTCGTTCAAATATTGACTGTCGCTCGCGTTCACAAAAAATACGACTGTTTTGCAGTCTAGTCGAGTGTCGGTTGAGTATTGGTTGAGTATCAGTGGTAGATTGGGGATACCCAACCAACACTCGACCAACACTGAACTGACACGATATAACGGCCCAGTGTTGGCCGATATTCGGCCAATACCTGGCTGACGTATTGACTGAGTGCAGCTGTACTAACAGTAAACTTGATCATGGCAAGCTACACTATACCAGAAATAGTCCTCGCTTGTGTAACATGCACAAAGAGAACAGAAAACAAAAACAGATTGCAATGACTCACCTTCATTATTGAAGAGGAATATTCTTGTTTCTGCCCTGATTAAAAATGAAGGGATTTTATTACTTGTGAACTGTTCAGTATGATATCTGATAAATTAAATATTTTCAAGACAAGAATCACTGTCGGCAAACTGCAGTTGGAATAAGGTTCCAGTAAAAAATTATGACCTAAATGGCTGATGGCAAAGGGTAAAAGGGCGACAGCATAGGATGTGATCTTCTGCCAATCAATACATTTTAGTCTAAAAGATTACATAATTACAAATGTATAACATATTGCACCCTGTTATCACAGACTCCTGCAATCAAGGGTACCAAATTATTGTGCTAACGGTCACTGTGACTTTATACCAGAGTTGACTGTGCATGACAATGAGCGGCTATCATAAAGCAAACTGCAAGCAATTGCTTATCCAATATGTGGCACACTGTATTTAAAAGCTTTAAGAGCAACTTATCCACATCTATTGTAATTTCTCCATAAAACGTCACTATCCTGCTAAGCAGTCATGAGAATCCAACAAAAAAATCAATGGCTACATGTATAGTAAAACTTGTCTTGATGTACCACCAAAATTTCAAAACAAACATTAAACGAAATGTATGAGAGTCCATAAGGAGATCTAGAGTAATATCTTGAGCCTGATGTACAAGAACATATGGTCCAGTTGAAACAGTGTTTTTTACATCTCTATTGTAAACTTTCAGTCTCCGAAAGGAAGAAATACACAGCCCTATGTCCTTGTGTGTCTTGTTGGAAGTACATGCACATGTACATGTACATGTACATAATAATTTGTAATTACAATAAACCAAAAATGGGGATAGTAAGGTTAGTTTAAAACTGGGAAGGGTTCAGATGGCTTATGACGAAAGTATTTGTGGATTTTCACTTAATTTACTTTTTTGTGAACTTGATAACTCTTGGGAAATGAAATGGTATAATCTAATACAAAAATAAGAAAATCAAGTTATGCAAATAAAACAGATTTTCCAGGTTACCCTAGGCTTAGCAAGTTGGAGCTACTGAATGCAAGCCTAAAGGTCTTTCTTCTTCATCATTATAATTTCAGATGCCAACTTGTTAACAGTCCAACAATTAATGCAATTTGTCTGCCAGACATTGAAGGATAGAATCCATTACCCTTCCAGGCTACTGGACAGAATTTTCTTTGCACACACAAAGTGTTTCTCAGAGAAAGTACTGCCACATAGAAGTCATACATTGTTAGTATCTTATATCTATACATGGGTAGGATATAGACTTTGACTGCAGAATTGTAAAATTTTACACCTGTACATTTGTATTTTAAATGTGGGAAACATTTACATTTTTCCCACACAGCTAGCAACAAGTATCTGTAGTTCCAATGAGAAGAATGGCAAGTACATCTATTGTATATCCCACATCTGATCCAAAGCTATGGCAGAATTTCATTCAAGTAAATACTATAATATCCACAGGTTTTTCATATGTTCTAATATTTCAGCAGGTCTTCTGGCAAAAGCTGTCAGTTTAAAAGCACACCTTTCAACAACATTAAAGAACACCAGATATTGAACCAGTCTGTTACATGTGCTCATGGCAAAAATGAATTAAATATTTATAAATCAACAACTGCTGTAAATTGGTCATTGCTGAAAGAAATTGTGGCAACAATTAGGCCATATAAACTGCAAAAAGAATGTGTCTTTTTCCCTACAGCCACTCCACAGTTTGTATGTTTACGACTCTCTACACCGCTTGTAAACAGTGACGGAAACGTGTGCACATGTCAGAAGACAATAGCAATAAGGAATTGAATTGTCTTGTACCAGTAATAACGCTAGGGGGTTCAGATTGGACAGTCGTAGATGTCGCCAAGCATTCTTTTCAAAAGAATGAAATAAACACCAAACCTTTGTTTTGAAGCTTTTAAAAGCTCTCATGGGAGCCAGCTGGGATTGTCAGAGGATTTGGTTTGCAAAAGCAAGTAGCCAATTAAGTAATGATGGTATCTTAAGTGAAGGCTCAAAAAGTAATAACTCAATATTTTTCTCCAAGTTTGGATCTCTCTAACAGTGTTAACACTACAAATAGTTCTGAAGGTTTCTAGAAATTTGAGAAGTTAATTAAACTTAATGAGTAGGTAATGAATTAGAAGGCTCTATCACGTGTTGTTATGTAGCAAACTCAAATAAAACTCTGTAAAAGAATTTGGCTTCTTGATTTAAGTTATGAGGTAGGACATATTGCATACATGTGGTCTATAGAAAAAGCTTATTGATGGGAATTTAACACTTCTCCAGTATTGCAATTAGTTCAACTGTAAGATTATGAAAATCGTATTTTTAAAAACTCTCACAAAGACCGTAAACAACGCTCGCCGCAGGTCATTTCACTGTCATTACAAAAGGAGTTGAATTTTCAAGCGTAACTATCTTAAATCGGTCGAAATCGGCGAAAAATCAAATCCTTTGCGTGTTTTGAGATTTGTTACATTAAAAAGATCGGTTTTCCTTGAAGCTCAAACCGTATGGCTCAAGAAATGGCGGTCAAAATGATGAAAATATGTGACCTGAGATAAACGTGAGGCAAGCTTACACACGAGTCCATACAAATCGTGTTGACATTTTTAGCTTCTCGGATTTCAAATATGTCACAAATCTCGTTTAATCGTTACTTAAAATCATATTGCCTATTAGGGGAATGTGCTTAGCCGCCCACAACACAATCGTGAAAGTAACTGAAGAATTCCTTTAGCATGAGGGTTGAAATTCTATGACAACGTGAATGGAACGAACGACGCGCGCTATTCAATTGTATGCAGAAAAAAAGTGACTTTCGTAAGACAACATGCAGCGTTTTCTTGACAGCGAACTGCAGTACTTTGAACACTCAGTAAATGGCTCGCCCGCTTCTTCAGCGAATTGGCTAATTATCGAGCAATATAACAAAGGAAATAAAAAAGAAATAAAACGACAAATGTTCTTGTTACCTTGCAATCATTATTATGAAGTGCGATACTCTTTAGAGCGAGTGGCGGATTTGTAAGTTTACGATTTGAAATTTTGAACGCTTAACTTCAAGAGCGAGATGTTAAGTCTTCTTATCGATACTACCAGCTTGTATTTCGTTAATTCGCTGTCAAGGAAGTTCCTTTACAACCCAATTCTATCGAAGGTCCGTTCTCTACCCGTATCGTACTGTTCACTTCACGTTTTGCGGCGAGAACGCGGTGTGAGACGGTTTACCTCGCATTCTTCTCACGTTGCATCACGTTCTTTACGAAAGACTTCCAAAATGTAAAAGGTGCAGAGTATTTAAACACAATTAGCCGACATCCACGGAAGCACAACACTAATGAGCAAACAGATTCTAAATTGGAGCGTAATGACCGAAGAAGCTCGTACACGAGCTTTCCCTTCGCCCCACGCAAGGAGGAAATTTTGCAAGCAAACTGCTGCACATTACCTCGTCCGCAACATAAGGTCGTCCAGTAGAAGAATATCCAAAAGCCTAAGTACATTCCACGACTAAGGCTGCCCGAAATTCCTGTCCACAACCATTGTAAACTGCCAGAAATATCGCGAGAGATGCACGTAAGCTGCGTAGTTAATTTTAAATAATTCATTCTGAGTATGCTAATGTATTTGACTTCTTAATTTATGCCAAGAAGTCAACACCAAAACGAGGCAAGTAATTGAAGTTTGTACGAAATTGCCGACGAAAAGTTTAATCAGGTGCAAGGAGAAAGAAAATAGCAAAAGCTACAAAATCCGCAAATTAGCAACAAGAAAGCTAACGATGAATTCACAAAGGAACGCTAAGCTTATAGATACAGTTAGATTAAAACCTCCCACGTTTTATATAAGATTCAATTGATTCACTTTTCATGAGGTTTGGTATCTTGTTTGAACTCTGGCGATACCTGCATATATTGAAGTTTGTGTTTACTTTGCGTACCAAAGATTAAACAGATTTAATTCAGTCCTGTCAAATGGATATCGGCGAATTAAATTTAATCTTGAATTTATCCGACAGTCTTCCTGACTGGGAATGGTTCCAACCGACAAGACAAAGCGAAATGGCCAAACGGATAAAAATACTTACTTCACACTTTGTTAAAAACGTCTCTCTTTGTGACCAGTTAGATATCCGATATTTTAAGAAGCTTCTGAAATGCAGTAATTTTATCACTTAAAATTGGACTGTTTATCAGTGATATAAATTAAAGCAACCAGAACCTCAGCAGACTTTTCTTTTTCCTGGAGTAATAAATCGAGAAATCGTCTAAGATAGCATGAGTATATCACGTGAAGTTTTAGCCTGCCCGCCTGCCAAGATGGCAACTTGGCTAACTAGATTTGGCCGGGTTGACCTACTATACCGAGTTACCATGCAAATATATCCTGAAGTTTTGTTGTTGTTGCCGGGCTGCTATACTGATATTCAACCCGCACGCGCGCGCACGAGTGGTCTTCGAGTTGGAACAAAGCCTGCAATACCAGGTGAACGAGTCTGGCACAATTGAAGAAAACCTGCAACTGCAGGAGTTAAATTATATAGAACCTCGAAGACTCATCATGTCTTAGGGAGCCGGTGGGAAGTTGAGAGACGGACTGCATTATTGATCCAATGAACTGAGAATGAATACGAGACTTTCAAAGAATACACCAATTTGGTTATAAACATTAAAAAGTTGAGGCTAAAATAGAATCATTCAAATGGAAATAAAATGAACATTACAAAACATATACTAATTGTATTCCAAATAGGTTTTTAATTTTCTTTTGTTTACAGCCTGGTGACTCATCAATCACTCTAGAGTTCAGCAGTGATGTTGAAAAACATTTTTGCAGGCGAGGGAGCTAGATTTCTCACGGAACCTCGTATCCCGTTTTATTTCGAAACCAAAACTCAAGTCTAAACGTTAGAAGAGTCAGACATTTTAGACTTTTTGTGAGATGCCTTGAATGGAGTCAGGTAGAAGTGCGTTTTCTCGAAGGAATGTTTCGTGTCGTCCTTACCTTTATCAAACTGGACCGGATTTCATCAATTTCACAGCATTAAAAAGAAAAAGCGTGGAGAATATAAGCCCCATACTGGGCTGTACCGAATTTCATAAAAATCTGCGAGGCCATCTGCGACTGAGTAAAAACGCCGCGTGTGTTTAATAGTTTACAGGTACTTACTGTAGAACTTACGAAAAAGACACTTCACCAGAACACCGGTCGACTGATTCGTTTATAGGTTTTTAGACACCCTTACCTCGAGTTGAAAAATGTGTTAAAATACAGGGGACATGTTCAGCAAAGATGACCTCTTTCTTCACAGCTTTTTTTGTCGGTTCACGCAAAGAGCTGAAATGAAGTGTTGATTCCAGTTTTTCGGCTGACAACAAAAGCTGGCGTACAAAGAAATTAACAAAGAAATGGACGCAATTTTTATCTCGGTCAAATATTCCACAGGCTTGAAACGTTACCATGGATTTTTAAGTGCTTTTCGTTGAAACATAGAGATTACCAAAGAGGTGTTGGATTAGTCCAGCTTTTTCACCCCTGGTTTGCGAACAACTCGTTAGAAACCTCATTTCTCAATGAAATGGTTCTAAATTAATTCATACCAGTAAAAAATTCGTAAAAATTCCACCCGTCCTGATACTATTTTGACTAGTTCGTGATTTGTCTATGGCTGAATTTGAAAACGATTTCTCACAATGGTCAATTAATAATTTATCGTAATATAACAAAACTTCAATTTTAAGTTTCCCCGCTTTGTCCTGCTTCCCAGCTTGTCTCTCCGAACTCTGGGTTAAGCCATGAAAAACGTTTTTGGCTTTGTTTTACTTCAATATGACTTGAAGTTGCACGATATTGTAATTAAAAATTTACGGTCTCTTGCTGTCTTGTAATTAACCTGAAAATTAATTAAGTAGAAGTTAATTTTGGTTTATCGAAGTTGAGATATCGAAACGAAAACAAAAAGCCGTTTAATGGCCTGCCAAATTGTTCAAAATCACTTGCATTCTGATTTGGCCAGAGTCTGTGCTGTGATTGGCTGGCTGTGGGGCTATCTTAGCCGCTAGGGATTACCAACTGTTTCCCGCAAGAAAATGAGTTCAGATAAATATGAGTTCAGATAAATTCCTTATTCACCAAGCTTGTTCAGTTTCGAACGGTAGCTATTGACCTCGTTCTCTTTCTTCGTGGTTATATACTCGCAATAACAGAATTAAGTTGGCCAATATCCTCACGCTTGGTCAATAACCGTATTTATGCATGGGGTGTTTTCAAGTTTGATTGGCATCCTGGGTGACATGTTACCTGCAAGCCATATTGCAGAACTCCCCGTGGATGGGATGCCAGGCAATTCTCCCGTACCCCGTTTGTGCGGCAGGGTGGAGGGAGAAAAGTTGTTCGAAAATCAATTGACGCTTTGGAAAAATACGTTAAGCAAGCGTTCATAAACAGCTGCGAGCAGCTTTCTAAACATAACCAAATTACAACAAGGTTTTGAAAAACACGGAAAACATTTGATGTCTTAAAATTAGAAAACTGCAGGCTACAAGTTGCCTATTGACAATTTGACTCATTGATTGGCTTTTGTTTACAAAATAGTTCGCGGGAAGTCAGTTGAGTTTTGACAATAGTCTTATATCCTGAGGTCACTTTTGTGTTTAACCCATGGCCACATGCAACCAACTAGGCACTCAAACAATAGACTGCGAGTAATCCGTCTTTCGTTTAGTCCGTCGTGCGTAACGCGAGAAAAAAATGGCCGCGCGAATTCCTGGGTGTGAGAACGGACTGTGGGACTATTTGTAGGCTAAGTCATAAAGCCAAACTGTAATGGTGAAATGCAATAACTCGAAACATTTCAAACCTCTTAGCTTTGTGCGCCGAATGTTAACTTTGAATGCCGGTTTATAGTTATATTTTTCCTCGCCCATCAATCCACAGGAGGCAACGAGCTCGTTTGAAGTCACTTGGGCGCGGGTTCAGCGATTGCAATGTTCGGATAGCGGAGGGGTAAAGTCTCTTTTCTCACTGAACTTTCACATCACAGTGTTAAGGGTCACCTGTATTTCTTTGCTCTAACAAAGGGCTAAAGCGTAGTATGTCAACTTTTCAAATTCGCGGTACCTTTACGCAAATTTACATTTACCAAATTCAAGTTGAAAATTAGCCGTGTTTCACTTCATGCGTATTCTTTTGTCAAATTTCATCGAGGGAAGTACCAATTCTTCCAGTCTCTGAAAGCTACGCAACCGATGTGCCACTCATCTCCTTAGATCTCTGCCCACTGACCAGAACAGATTGAAGTGTCTCTTAGAATCTGGTTCTGTCACTTTTCCCATTCACCCTGTACTTAATCGTGTTTAGCAGTAAGTGATCTAAGCATATTTGAAACAGGGATGCTTTCTTTTAATTTTACAATTAGTTTACTCTCGTAGTTGGACTTTATACAGCCGGGAACAAAGGTGGTCATTTGCACTGCCTAGTTGTCCCGCAAGGTCACAGAGAAATAAGCTTTGATAGCCCTTATAAACAGACATGTAAACGAGGCATTTGAGACATGTGAGACCTTAATGCCTCGCTTGCATGCTGTTTTGCGCAACAGAGCACCTCTGCACTGTAGACTGTTAAAAGTAGTTCTCGAATCCAGTCTCTTTCAGTTATCAGTTTCAGTCCGAATCTGAGCCTTCGCTGATGTCAGCGTCTTCCTCTTCAGATTCCTCCTCTTCCTCCTCAGACTCGTCGTCTGACGCGTTCTTGGCTTTTTTCTTGGTCTTCCCTGGTTTTCCTTTTGGTTTGGATTTGGGTTTTTCTTTCTGCGGGTTAGTAAGTGTAAGAATAAATTCAGTTGTAATGTCTCAATGGTAATTTGTAGAGGAACTGTTAAAAAGAATCTAGCGTGGGTAGAACATATCTTGTTGTCTCCGAGAGCAGTTTTATCACTACTATTAAAAAAGATTTTGGCTAATTCTTTGGTGTAGTACTAAATTGAAACTTCCTAGCGTTACTTCTGGTTGCAACAAGGTTTAGTTTTTACGGTAGGTTCGCTATGATCTATTATGAAACGTAACAAAAAACAGTCGACACTTCACCTTTCCTTCGTCCTCCGAGGAGCTGTCGTCTGTGTCGACAAATTCTGCGCTCTTGAATTTCTGTGACTCACCGCCGCCTGATTTGCGAGGAGAGCTTTTCTTCTTGTCTCCCTTTTTACCAAAGAACTCCTTCACCGAACCTTTCTTGGTGGATTTGGCTTCAGGACTGTCCTCAACTGGCTCATTAGCTTTCTTTTCTTTGTAGGCTTTCATCGCTACTTCGTATTTCGCTTTCGCTTCTTTCGCCTTTTCTTGCCATTCCTAGGCAAAGAAATCATTTAGTCAGCCATGGTCTACTGATTCACGCTTCACCAAAGTTCAACATCAGACTTCTCCCTACAGCTTTCTATCCATTTTGTTAAAACGTACTTAAGAGAATTTGGCTCTTGGTTGAGATATTTCTCTCGGGATGATGAGATCCTTTTTTCCCACTACCTGTCAACTTGAATGTGAAGTAGGAATGTAATATCGGCCTGGGATAAAGGTAAGCTAAGGTCTGTTCAATTCTAGGTATTGAAGGAGCCAAAGATAATAAAATGAGGCCAGAAAAAAAAAAGAAGCTTCGTCTATTTCGACCATTCCTATGACACCCCGCGCGCCTTAACCCACCCTACATAGTATCGAATCTTCTCTCCCCACCAACACACGTAAATAGCGACTGGGTACGAGTCTGGCTTGAACCCCTACTCTATATCCAGAGTCTAACGCGTAAACTATCAAAACTATCAAGCAGTCTTCACATCTCTATGTTATTATTCCGGTAGTACTACGATTATCAGTTGAGTAAGACGGGACTAAACTTTGGTCACCAAGTTTAACGTGAAAGTCGTGTTGTTGTCACGAGCAACTGGCTCCGTATCCATTAGCAACTTGTCGGCCTTTGACGTCATCGGCAGCAAAGCGCGCGAAATTGCAGGCGACGCGAGGCCAAAACTTCGTAACCAAACTTCCCTCCTGCCTTACTCAACTGATAATCGCAGTAAGTTTTACATGAGACCTTGCATTCAACCTTCACAGCAACATATCCCTCGAAAAGAGGAGTGAAACCACATAAGCGAAACTTTGCATGCCAACTGACTTACAGATTTATCTTCAATTTGTTTCCATTTCTCTCCCGCCACCTTGGATAGTTCAGTGACAGAGATTCCCGGATTTTCCTGTTTGATTTGCTCTCGGACTTCACCCAGCCACAGCATATAAGCAGACATTGCCCGCTTGGGGGCATCAGCGTCTTTCTTAGCCTTCTTTTTCCGCGGCTTGCCTTTAGATTTCTCTGGCTAAAATAAAAAACAAGGGTGAAATTTCCCTGACTAAACAGACTTTTCCTCATGTGTTCAATTCTTCCCCCATTGGAAGGGTGTAAAATTCGATCCACGTAACTCTACAGGGATTCGCGTAACGTCCCCTTTGATTGGTTGTTGCTCGGCAACGAACCCTCGCGCGCACGGATCAACCAATCGATGAAGAGATCTTCGTAACACTACATCAACTGAATCGAAACTCAGATAACTCTCAAGCGACAGACGAATTGAGCGCGAGACTGAAGAAAGGCATCTGTTTCCTAACACAAAAACGACCATTTTTCGAGCAAATCCCCGTGAAACCGCGAAAAAAAATTGCGAGTCTTATCAGAGTCTTACAAAACCGCAAAACCACACCAGCACACGAAGATAAGTCACCAGGATTATTTTAAGCGACTAGAGTCACGTGTCATCGACATGAACAGTGGGAGGGGAGGGAAAAGATAAAGCAAGAAAGAGTGAATTGATGTTTCTGGAGTTATTTGGACGGTTGAGGTNCTTTCTTTTTGGGCGAGGCGCTTTTGCTTGATTCAGCTTTCCTTTTCTTTTCTGGCGATTTCTTTTTCTTCTCTTTTTCTTTATGCTTGAGTTTCTCTCCTGCGTCAGAATCTCCCTCGCTTGCTGAGGAAGATGGGTCGCTCTCGAATCTGGTAAAAGAATAAATAATTCAGATGCCAGGCATTAAAAACAGTTCTCCTTATCACTAAGACGTTTGACATATTTTGTTCGAAACGCGTCCGCAAACAAGATATAATTAAGCAGTTGGCTGGAAAGCGCTTTAGAAGTGACATGTACGTAAAACCTACACTGGACGAAGAGCCTCTCCGTAAAAAGTGCCTCTACAAATTCCTATATATTTATTCTATTTTGTTTAAAAGCCACCCCTGCTGAAGGCAAACGTCCTGTTAGTCACTAATAGCCTGGGTAAGATGAAAAAAGGTGTCAAGTACAATGAAGGTGGTGTTATTTTATGGCTTATTTCCATTACTGTTACCACTTACTCTTCTTTTAAATTCTGATCTTCAGCGCCGCTTTCTGGATTAAAAGACTCATCAGAATCTGTAAACGATAAATTAAGGTAATAAGAGACGGTCCGTCATTTAATTAAAAACAAGGTAAAGATGAGGGTTTATCCAAAATCTAGCGACAATCATAAAGAGACGGCGCGAACACCATTCCTCAGAGAGTACTAATCGAACAGAATTTTCCGTACAGATCCGCGCTTAGACAGAGAAGAGAGGAATACCACTCGAGTTATTCGAAAACCGTCTGAAACGAAATTTACCGAATCAAACGTTAAATTTCCAACCATCTTCTCCCTAATTTTGGCTTCTGATCCATAAATGGTACAGTACGAACCAAATCTCTAAGTTGATGATTTTCTTAATTCTCCTCACCTGTCCCCTTGTCAATTCATGGATATTGTTAAAAGTAGTACTATACTGATCGAAGCGCACAACGTACCTTCGCTTGACTCAGAATCTTCGTCTCTCTCGGCACCTTCTGCCTTCATCTGCTCCAAATAAGCATCGTGAGAGTCTTCGTCTGACCCGGGCATCAACTCATCTTCGTAAGTTTTAGATGACACCTTCGACTACAAAACAAACCAAATTTAGCAGTTGGAGAGTTTTTTTTATTTGAATATTTAGTGCATTTTGCATTACATCATTGTATCAGTTTTGGTAACTGAAAAAACCTTTGACGGCCTGAAAAATTTGGACGAATCTCTTACCTTGCCTGTGTTCTTTATTCTCAGGTGTTTTCCATTAACAAAGTCAAAAAGTCTACCATACTCCTCCCTAAAATGAGACAAGGAAAACAATAAACTGGCTGCTAAGAGGGGTAATCTAGGATTACGACAGACTGACGCGTGACTGTTCCCACTATCCAATCAAAGTAAAGAACATGTATTTTAAACCAATCAGAAAGAAACGCAACTTTTCCCGCGCTTGCCACGCGTCATGTTCACCCGCCCTTGTCACAGACATCAACGTCAACATCATTGATGTTGTAACTTTGTATAACACTTTGTTTTGCTTTCGTATAATTTCTTTTTCCTGTAGATCACTGAAAGGCCCGGCTATTTCATGGCTTTTTGTTTTTATGCCAACTAAGATACATTCCACTTACTTTTCAATGCTACTGAACACATAGGTGGTCCCTGACTTGGTTTCCACCTCAAAGTCAAAAGATCGACTGGACCCGCCTCCCCCTGCTACACGGGCAAAATTCACGGAGGATATCTCGTCAAAGCGTACATGTACGGGGGGCTTATGCACAAAGATGAAGCCTCTTTCCAGTGGGTACAGCATTCCGCTTCCAGCTTTGTATGAACACGTTATACAGCTAAGCCCATTATGACTGTAAAACAAAACAATGAAATGAGTATAAATCAACATCAACTTTGGTTTTTTATCGTGATCCATTTGTTTTTAGTTTCCCATTGACATACTTCGTGTCTAATGTGGAAGGAAGGCAGGAAGGGAGGGAGGGGCTAGAGAAAGAAGAAAGGTGTATCTGGCTGGCAATTTTTAGTTCTTCCAAACATGGGATTGGCCATTTCATGAGTTCTAGTTCAGGTTTCGAGTTCAAGTTAAATTTCAAGTTATTACAGCTATACTTTGTGGTAACCTGATAAGGGTAGGGTTAGGGTTCATTTTCTCTCATTGGTACGGTTAACATCATATCAGATTTCGGCAACAAAGTAACTAAACACCTACCAAAAGCTACTAACAGAACTTTAAAACTGGAAACTTTCAGATAGAACTTTTGCCAAAAAAACATTGTCTCTAACTTGAAATGCTGGTTCAAACTCAAAAATTTTGCACAATTTCCAAACATACCAAAGTTTATGAATTCCACATTAAATGTCACTGTCAAATTATATTCAGTTCTATAATAAATTCAAAACTTGTATTTGCCTTTAGTACTTTGTTTTATTAGTTTACCTTTTGAATGTCCCAGGGACGGTGATTCTTCTTCCAACCACAGCCTTCATAAGTCTGCTTACAATCTCATATATTGGACCATCCATCTCCTGCGTTATTTTTCCTTCATATTTTTCCTTTAATTCCTCCCTTACATGGCCAAAGTTAACAAACATGTAAGCAATGAGTGTATGTGTGACATGCACATTTAACAGAGGTTGTTCACACTTAACAAAGCTTGTTCTCATTTAACAAAGCTTGTTCCCATTTAACAAAGCTTGTTCATAATTAAAGCTTGTTCACATATAGCTTGTTCACACTTAACAAAGCTTGTTCACACTTAGCAAAACTTGTTCACACTTAGCAAAGCTTGTTCACACTTAACAAATCTTGTTCACACTAAGCAAAGCTTGTTCAAACTTAACAAAGCTTGTTCATACTTAACAAAGCTTGTTCACACTTAACAAAGCTTGTTTACACTTAACAAAACTTGTTTGAACTTAACTAAGCTTGTTCACACTTAACAAAGCTTGTTCACACTTAACAAAGCTTGTTCACACTTAACAAAGCTTGATCACACTTACAAAGCTTGTTCTCACAAACTTACACATAAAGGTTTTCACTGACTAGTACAAAATGCCAACTGTATCCATACAAAAACACATACAGCCATGTAGTGGATTGAACCGAAAATGTTTCCACATTAAGGAAACACTATATCAGCAAAATTATCTGAGCTTTCTTATTCTTTTTTAAGGACTTATCATTCTGAGTTGAGGTAATTTACTAGTGTCTATGAGAAAGTTTTTAATTTGCTCAATGGAATCTACACGATCGAGATTGCAATAGGGAACTTGAAAAATACATGTAACATCGGACATCATTGTTTCTCCACCACGTTTTAGCCATCTGAAAATGGGAAATTTCACTCCTGGTTAGTCAGAAACTGTGTGAGGTGCAGGTCTGGGCTTAGTCAGGCTGTGACATCAAAACAAGAACATAGGTTGACACATTTTTCGAAACACACAACTAGAAAACGAAAAAAGTAATTAAAATATACATTTAGGAAATTATTAGGCAATCAAGCATAATTCCAGGTTTGATTCAAAATTGTAAACATTTATGAAAGATATGTAGACCTACATTCTTGTTTTAGCGTCACAGCCCTGCTAGTAACAGGTCCTATTCCACGCAGTTTCTGACAGAATCAACCTACGTGAAATTTCACGTTTTCGGATGGCTAAAACGTGGTGATATCCATTATCCAGTATCCTCTTTATTTTCGATTTCCATATTGCAATCTTGTGTAGATTCCATAAACCAAAAATATATATATTTGTCATATACACTTAAAAAAAAGCAAGACACATCCTTCCTGTCTTAATTCACTTACTCTGACAAATTAAGTTTCACATCAAACTCGTCATCCTTTCCAAACTGTATGATTAAGAATGGGTATCTTGTCTGTCCTTGCTTGATGGGTGGATCCATACTAACCTACAATGTGACCGGTCAAAATTATTCGAGCATTACGTCTAGGTATATTTTAAAACTTAATGTAATTATAAATTAATACATTATAATAAATTATTACTGGTATGTATATTATCTAGCATCATAGGACTTCAAAGGATGCAAAAGTCTGGATAAAAATTATTATTGCTTGCATGCATTTTATACTTACCACAAAAAACATAAACCTTTGGTCTTTGTGTGGAAGAAGGAAAAGCCTTAACACTGATGTGTAGGGAATCTTGTAGTCGTATGTTTTGCCATGAAGTTGGAGAAATGAAGGGAACACTTTCATGGAGTATCGACCCCTAAAAAGGTAATTAAAAACAAAATCCAATGAAACCTAAAAACTATTGGAAGTTAGTCAGTCCAGCTGAGACAGCCTGAGGAATAATTTCTCTCAAGTACATCTTAAGGAAACAGATTTGTTGTGTTTACATAGCAAATAGACTGATGCAAACAAGGATGTAGCTAAGAAAAGGTTAAACACCCTCGTTGACTCAGACTTTGTTTTCTAGTCTAGTCTTTGTTTTTTTGCTAATGAATTTTCTGCAGTGGTAAGCTCAAACAACACAAAAGTGAGTTTGGAAAGATTAGATATCAAAATTTCTCTAGAACTTGTGTAAATTACATCAAGCTATGTAGACAGGCATTGCCATTTTCATAACCAAGTTTATATGGTGAAAAGGAATTTACCTTGGAGTGAGACATGCCACGTCTGGTATTGTAACGATAGCATCTCCTGTTGCTTGAATAATGTCTGCTTTCTCCAGAACCTGCTCATGAAAATTCTAAAGACAAGAAAATAACACTAACATAATCAAACATTCACCACAAAAGATAAAGAAAGACTATTTTTCCAAAAGTGATTCTGAAAGGTTGTTATGGAAAATTAACCAATATTGTACATAAACACCGAGATAAACACTGATTTTACTTAAAACGACAACTTTTTCAACTAATAACATTCTCAATTTTTAATAAATCATACATTGGCAGGATAACAACAGACAAATGACAAAGCAGAGCAAACAATGACCGCTAACATGGATCCCTGTTTTATGATTACAACAATCATTGCAAAAGAAGAATTGCTTCTTTCAAAAAAGGTAAATTTTTATGCAAACAACTTCCATCAGAGAGCTGTTTTGTCATATCTTTGCAGTTAAAGAAGGCTTGCTGGTTGCAAAAAATGCAAATGCCTTCCATTTGAATACAGTATCATTAACTATTTGGTCTATAATTTAGTCCCTCCAACCTAACTGCATGATATACTTTGTGCATGTTAACTGCTTTTCTATATATTGCTATCTGTTAAAATATCAATTATAGTACATACTTTGACTGGATCCTCTGCTGCATTATCTGATGTAGCTGGGATATAAAATCTCATCTCCATCAAACAGATTTGTGCATCATCATGTTGGTGAAACTCCAGAGTAACTTCATTTTTGCCTGTTGGAAAACAGTCTACTCAGTAAAGTTGCATTACAGTCTGTCAAATGTCTTAATTCTCAATTTTGTTCATTAGGTTATCCACATAAAGTATCCAACATTTGCTTGGGGAAAATTTCATGTAAATGAAATTTGAAAATACATACAAAAGTTTTTGTCAGTGACTGTTGAGGAGACAGTTACCGACATGGCATGGCGTACTAACAGGGCACGTGACCTCAGAGACATTGTTACTTTAAGTTGCACGTATGATTATCATGCGTATGTGTTGCTCAATTTTGACATTTTGACAGTTTTTTTGTGAACAGTTGTTGTGTTTTTCTGAGAGGTTTGTGTCATTTAGAAATTCTCATGTTACCATTTGGGAAGTGTTTTTGGCTTGATTAATGAAGAGTCAACTGCTTACGAACAGTGACTGGTTATAAGAACTATTCAGTTAATATTTAAGAGCCTGTTACACTCTTTTGGGCATGTGTAATTATTCCTACTGAACTTCTCAAGACAGTGCTTCACTGCCAGTTAATGACAGTTCCATTTCCCCAGATCTGACAGAAGTAACGATAAAAAACAATAAAATGACAGACCGACCTGTGGTTGCTTGGGATACATCCTTAAGAGGGACTATAAATGCTGGCTTCTCATCGACTTCAAAAGAGAGGGATGAACCTGGAATAATACAATGAAATGTTATTTTCCACGAGCTGAGTGAAACAAAATAAGTGGAAAATGTTTTTCTTGCACACTGCTGAGACCTGGAAATGGCTGTTGTGCTGCAAGCAGTTGTTTTTGTTGCTTCTGCCATGAACAAGATTAGGGTTTTTACAACTGGTGCAAAAGTGCTAAAAACTCTCCTTAATATAAAGAGCCCTCATTCTATTGCCACAAAAACAATTTACAAAATGTCAAATGTTCAGGGTTCGAAAAATAAATATGACAAGTTTTACAACTAACCTTTGAATTTAGCAACACCCCAGTTCCAGCCCTTGACTGAGAGTTCAATCTCTTCCAAATTCATTTGGAAATGTTTCTTTAAAAATGCAGCAAGTTGGTCGTAGTCCTATGAAAGGATAAAAGAAAGGTTTATAACACTATTAAACACACCGTGAATATGGCACAAATTGTACATTAGCTGGCCTTAGTTATTCAGAAGTGGATAACATTATTCATCACATTAATGCTATCCAGTGGATAAGTGGTGAAAAACAAACTGTGACATCCAGACCTCTATTGTATAACAAAACACAAAAATCCATATATACACTGTAAAATTAGAATTATACACCATCTCATTATAAAAAATGTTATACATTATTAGTATTACACCCCTCAATCTCATGGTCACTTTCTTGTACTACTTTAATTAACATCTTGTAATAAAGGTCAGGCCACGTGGTTCGGCTTGGCATGGCTCCCAGTTGTGTGTGAGAAAAAGAGAAATACCCTCTAATGTGCTAGTGATAAAGGGAGTAAAAACACTTATAATAACAAAGAAAAGTTGGACTTACACCCTCTTTAAAGCCTTCAAACTTGAACTGTGATCCATTTGTCAAAGCAACATTCAATTCAAAGCCTCTTGCTACTCTCATCCATTGAGTTGATTCTATGTCGGCAACTGCAGCTTGGTCAAGCTTTCCTGTTTTGTTAGCTTTAAATATCACCCCACCTTTGTGTAACTTCAAGCGACCATCATGCTGCAAAGAACAAAGGCATGTCAGTGGAAACCCCTCTCTTGCACTCTGATATCTTACAGTTGGTCTTCTGAAGGTGAAGGGTGAAGGGGGTGAAGATTAATGGGTTGATCAATATCTGATTGGTACTTCACCAAAAGTCAACAGATATCTAGTTGACACCAATGCTGTCTTAGTGGTTTTTCATCAGTTCAAAGGCACTTAACATATCAGTTGATATGGTGAACAACATATCTACTGCTCTCACATGCAATCTTGAATTGATCTTATGCTCTAGTGGGGAGATAAGCATAAGCTTTTTTCTTATAATCTTGCTTATGTTGGTGTTATGTCCAATGGGGACATGGTTGGCATAAGCACAAAATACATGCTGATCGCTGAAAGTCTTTCACTTATGCATATGCCTATGTCAACCATGTCTCCACTGGACATAACAGCGACTTATGCACAAGCTATATTGGTCACCTGTTGGTCCACTATAGATCAACATGTAGACTGAGATGTTATTGTTCACCAGCATGTTATACTATCAAACCTCTCATTACTGGCCTCTCACTAAGTCCCAGCAAAAGGTCTTGGTGGCCGACACATTTTGACGACGAAACTAACTAAACATTTAATGCTCGATCACTGAATGTCCAGGTTTGCAGAATTAAGCTTATAGTCACTGTCTGCAAACACATGTACGAAGCTTTAGTTGCCTTATGTTTGCCTAATTGAGGCTCTTTAAAATATATATCTACTACTTTCGTACATTTAAGCCTAGCAGAAGTAGTAGAGAAAACTAGGCTTCCATTTTCAGCGTCATAAGTATCTACAATTAGGTTTGGAAATAAGCTCAAATAAGCACACATTTCACGCGCAGCAAATCAAAAGCGAATGCTCAAAGAAAGAACGTACAAATTTGAGACGTGATGAAACAAGTATGTGTGTACTTACCAAAGCTCCCCTCACAAGAAGGTGAATATCATTGTATTCCAAAACATCGGTGGCCATTTTGCCAATCTTAAACGAGATAACACGGTCAAGAAATGCAAGAGGACATCGAATTGGTCTTGACTTTATTTAGTTGTTCCCGCGCGATACCATAATGGAGGTCGAAGAAAGAAAGAGTATAGACTGGAGCTAGTTTTATGATTGGCTCGAATCCGGCCGCCTCGTTTCCCGGGTATTTTGCCCGGGTGAAAGAGAAGTTACGGGAAACGGGACACTGAGAGCCTGAGCTGGTGCCAGCCATCCTCTCGCGACCCACGGGGGTTAGGTTTTAACGTAGACACTCCCCCCCTACAAACAAGGGAGGAACTAGCTAGACTACAGTCAGACCTCTCCACAAAGGCCACCTCGTGGACAGAGTATCGAGAGATGGCAGTAGTTGAGGTAGGGGTGTAATATGACACCTGTTTTTTCGTTTTGTTTTGTTTTGTTTTTTCGGGGATACAACATTTTAATATTTAATAGTGCTTATTGTGGCAAAAAATATCTAACACAATCAAAACATATCAATAAAACAAAACCTAAACAGAAACAGAGACCAACGGTGCCCGGTACGGATTAAAAGAGAGGGAATGTATGGATTATTGCCTCATTGTTTTGTTTCTATTTTTGGCTGATCAGATCTTTTACAGATACTATATATACCTGCAACATTTTGTTTGCATCACTTGCATCATTGTATTTAATGTATGGATTCTCCGCCAGGACCAAAAAAGTAGCCGTTGTAGACGGGGGAGGTGGCCATTGTAGAGAAGTGGCCGCCGGAGGTGGCCGTTGTAGGGAGGTGG